AACTCCAAAATACAGTACAATGTTACACTAAACCATAGTAAAATTTTATCAATTCAAACTAAATACAAATTGATGGCTTACTCAACAAAGGCTTGAGAAAAAGAATGATTTATTCTTTTCTAGCTTCTTTGCTTATTGCTCAATTTGAAGCATTTCTACAAAGCTGTCAATGACCTACAAAAACAAAAATTAATTAAATATATGTTAATCAAATGAACTATTTTTAGTTATTGAAGTGAACACTAGTCATTGAAACTTGTATGGCCACTTACATTATTTACAGTATCACTATCTCTCAAAATTACATCCACATCATGCAATGTAACATATACTCCATTTCATGTGCCGGACCATATGATTGTACTAGTCATGAGGTTAAAAAAATGTTGATTAACACATTGCAATTTGATAACAGTAAAAATCTGTTGTTTGATAAAATTAAAATGGTCTTACTCTGTGGTTTCCAAATTGTAAATCTTGCTCAGTAGATACTTATCATTCTCATCAAGCAATTTGCATATTGCAGCGTTATCTGGAAACAAAACCCTTCTAACTGGCTTTGGTTGGCTTAGAGGCAAGTTAGGCAAGTTGTCAACACAAATCACTTCATTTGATATCACTTCAATTGCTTGTTTTATGATCTTTTTTTTCTTTGCCTCTCTTGGCTCACATTCAACATCAGACATCTCTTTTTTCTTCCTCGCCTTGATTTTGATTTTCTTGACCATGGATGTTTGCAATGGCTCTATGACTATAGGTGTTTCTTTCAATGTAGTTTGAATCCCAAAGTTTTGCTCTTGTTCTACTTCTTTAGCATGTGGCATTTCTTTAGAAGCAAAAGCTTAGGTAGCCGCATGAACTGCATTTTTTTTATTCTGTTCAACCAATTGTTTATTTTCAAATTCGAGTACTTCAATCTCCTTTCTCAGTTTCTCCATCTTTTTCTCTGTGCTGCTCATCTTTTCCATCATTTCTTTTGTTTTTGCCTCTTGATCCTCTTGTATTTTTTGTATTGTCTCCCTCATTTTATTCAGTTCTTCAACCAATGCCATATTCTCACTTTTCAGTCTCTTGTTTTCTTTTTGAACTTGTTCTAATTTCCCGAGATCAATGAAGTCTTTCAAAGGTTGATCATCTGCTAAAGCTTCAGCTACATGATCTTCATCTTCTTCAGTCTCCAAATGTTCCTCTATGCCTAATGTATCTTCTTCATCATCATTGCAAATGAGTTCCATTTCTTCTCTAGAAATGGGCTTCAGTTCATTGTGATTTACCTGCATTTAAAAAATAGAAAAAGAAAAGAAGTCAGCAATGAAGCAAATTTTAACCACTAGAGTAAAATTTTACTCTGTTTCAAAGTAAAAGTTTACTCTGATTGTAAGTAAACTTTTACTCTGTTTCAAAATAAAAGTTTACTCTGATTGTAAGTAAACTTTTACTCTGTTTAAGAGTAAGTAAAATTTTACTCTGACTGTAAGTAAAAGTTTACTCTGATTTAAAGTAAACTTTTACTCTTTTAACTTTTACTCTTTTAACTTTTACTCTGTTCAAAAGTAAGTAAAATTTTACTCTGACTGTAAGTAAAAGTTTACTCTGATTTAAAGTAAACTTTTACTCTGTTCAAGAGTAAGTAAAATTTTACCCTGACTGTAAGTAAAAGTTTACTTTGATTTAAAGTAAAATTTTACTTTGTTCAAGAGTAAGTAAAATTTTACTCTGACTGTAAGTAAAAGTTTACTCTGATTGTATGTAAACTTTTACTTTGTTCAGGAGTAAGTAAAATTTTACTCTATTTCGAAGTAAAAGTTTACTCTGATTGTAAGTAAACTTTTACTCTGTTCAAGAGTAAGTTAAATTTTACTATGTTTCAACGTAAAAGTTTACTTTAAACTTTTACTCTAATTTTAAGTAAACTTTTACTCTGTTCAAGAGTAAGATTTTATTATGTAAGTATAAGTTTAAGTAAAGTGAATCTGTAAAGCTGAGTTTGGAAAAATGACACATCTTCGGGCTTTAGCGTTTGCAATGACTTCTTCATTAGCTTTTTCCTCAACGTTGATAAGTCTCATCGAAGGAGCCTTGGACACAAATTTTTTCCTTGAGGTTGAATGAGGGTAGTATGCTCGCATAACCAGTACTATAAAATAAAAAATTGAAATTAGTTAATTCACTAAAGATAGATTGCGTAATATTTCAAGTAGTTCAATTTACATACCAAAAGAAGAAGTACACATCCAGTTACATTTTCAGGACTTTCTAATGAAGAATGGATTGAAGTAGTCAACGTGGATACAACTACAGTCGACCATGCATATAAATTCATCATTTTCAAATCTTCTACAAAGGTGACAAAAGCCCATCCAACTGTTAGACGAGTTGTTGGTAATAGCAAAGTTGCCACAACAAATAAACACATTATTCATGCAACATCCTCAACATCAACTCTCGTTGTGCCTTCCAATGCATCTCCTAATGCCTCTCGCAAACTCTTTACGAATATTCTTGACATATTATGAAACCTTCTCTGCACAAAAGGTGATTCTTGTTTCTTCCCATATGACACATCTACTTTTTTCGCTCTCGATTTTATCCCAAAAATCAAAGTAACGTCATTGTCCCGTATGTCACATGTTTTCCTCCCAAGCTTAAATCCCTTTGCATGAAAGTCATAAGATTTGATCACATCCATGACATTATCATCGACTTTCTTGAACTTCTTTAACACCACCTCATCTTTCTTCCAAAAAGATTTAAACAACATCCCAAAAAGTGTTCTCTCAAGGGCAGTAATGTGTCTTTTAGTGAACCTTGTGTCTCGCATTAGGTTTATCAATGATATTGTTTCATATAGTTTTCCCTCTCCCGTACTCCATGTACAATATTCAACTTCGAAGGTTTTGTTGTTGAAGGCATTAGATTGCTTTCTTTGCGGCCTTCATCATCACTAACATTGGATTGAACTTCTTTACTACTTTTGCTCTTTTTTTTAGGGACTTTCTTCTTTTGTATAACCGTTGGTGGAACTTCAAAATCATCATCATCATCATCATCATCATCATCACCACATTTGCTTCTTGTAACAACCATTTTACAACACTAAAAAGTTTCTCTATATCAACAGTGTAACATTTTACTTTAAACAACAAAGTGACAAAATAAATAAGCACTAAACAAAATGCACAAGCATTGTAATGAGATAGTAAAGTTTTACTCTGTTTGGCAGTAAAACTTTACTTTTATTGGAAGTAAAATTTTACTCTGATTGGAAGTAAAATTTTACTCTGAACAATATACCCTAGGAAATAAACAAAAAACACATACAAATTTTATAGAACCAAGAATCAAGAAAACATTGTCTCAATTTTGACTATAAGCAATACAGTTCGGAAATTGGCATTCACATACATAAATAGATACATATATATATATATATATAATTCATATACAAATTGATATGCACATTTATGTAATGAGCAAAGGCTAGAGTTAAGTAAAATTTTATTCTCATTGCAAGTAAAATTTTACTCTGAAAAATTCATGAAGCAAGTGAATTTGAAAGCATTGAAATTGCAGGATCAAAACACTACAGAAATCAAAGCGTAATGAGCAAAGGTTAGAGTTAAAGTAAAATTTTACTCTCATTGTAAGTAAAATTTTAAGTAAAATTTTACTCTGGTTGGAAGTAAAATTTTACTCTGAAAAATTCATGAAGCAAGTGAATTTCAAAGCATTGAAATTGCAGGACCAAAACACTACAGAAATCAAAGTGTAATGAGCAAAGGCTAAAGTTAAAGTAAAATTTTACTCTGTAATAAGTAAAATTTTACTCTCATTGTAAGTAAAATTTTACTCTGATTGGAAGTAAAATTTTACTCTGAAAAATTCATGAAGCAAGTGAATTTCAAAACATTGAAATTGCAGGACCAAAACACTATAGAAATCAAAGCATAATGAGCAAAGGCTAAAATTAAAGTAAAATTTTACTCTGTAATTCCGAAATTCCTAAATTAGTTTTCAAAATTTTTAAACCTTAACATTCTTACATGATTTAGTGATTTAAAGTATTTTAAGATAGTGATAAAAATTTTAGAGCAGATGATCCTTAGTGCAACCAAAAATCCCAAATTCTACTAACCCAACGTAATCTCATACACCCTCCCAAAATGAAAACAAACCCAGACATGCTTCATAATATCGAAAAACTAGCTGAAAGAGGAAAAGATCACCTGCAAAATGTGTGTCTAAGAGAGAGAGTAAAGCGTAATGCAGAGTTCGATTCGAGCGCTAGCGACGAACCTGTAACGTTGCTAGGGTTTCAATCGACGAAACTGTAACGAGGTAGCTCTAAAGAGCAAGAGTAATGAGACTCAGAGAAGGGTTTCAATCGATGCTAGGGTTTTCGAATGATGATATTCAGAGGAGATGAGGGTTTTCAATCGATGAAACAGAGTGAGGCGAGAGAAACAGTGCAATTGTTTCATATTTCCCCACTTATATAGAAGGGCATTTCAGTCAGTTCATGCTATTTTTTTAATTGAAGGACTTTTGGAGCCATTGTTTTATTCCGTAAATTTCACACAAAATAGACCCAATGGAAGGGACTTTTCACCAAAAATTCTTAATTTTATAAAAATTAAAATTTTATATTAAAAATTATATATATTATGAAAAAAAAATCAAAAAGATTAAAATAAATTTTTTTATTTTTTATTAAAAATGTGATATAGAGAGAGAGTGTGATTTTAATTTTTTTTTTTTTTTTTTTTTTTTTTTGTTAGAAATGTGATAGAGAGAGGGAGAGAGAGAGTGTGTGTGCTGTGATAAGTGTGTCAGGGAGAAAGGCGGAGAGAGAGAAAGGGACAGATTGAGAGTGTGTGGTGTGCAGTGAGTGTGTTAGTGAAAGTATGTATTCTTTTTTTTTATGTATTTTTTTTTTTAAAAAAAGAAATGAATCTGAGCCGTTTATTTATTTGTAGGTGACGTGGTTCTACTTGAGCCGTTAGCCGGAGGATGAGCCAGAGAGAGAATCTGGAGAGGATCCAAACTCAGCCTAAACTCTATGTAAGTCTACAGTGCTCTGAACCCTTTGAAGCCAAAAACAAGATATATATGGAAAAGAGCAAAGTTCTCGTGGTTGGGGGTACAGGGTACATTGGTAGGAGGATTGTTAAGGCTAGTTTAGCCTTAGGACACACAACCTATGTCCTTCAGAGGAGAGAGATTGGCCTTGACATTGAAAAGCTACAAATGTTACTTTCCTTCAAGGAGCAAGGGGCTCAGCTCGTTGAAGGCTCATTTTTTGGAGTCCAGATTCCCTTCTTGAGCCCCTCCTTCATTTCCTTCTTGCAGGGGTCTTTGGGTCTACTTTGAGGCCCAGTTTTGATAATCCGAACCGTTCATATTTTTAGATTTATTCAGTATATTATACCTGTAAAAAATCAAGTTGATCGGATATCAGAAAGTATGCGTTCAGAAAATTGGGACTACAAACTATTTTTTAATAAACAGTTTTCCGAACACATACTTTATGATATTCGATCAACTTGATTTTTTACAGGTATAATATACTGAATAAATCTAAAAATATGAACGGTTCGGATTATCAAAACTGGGCCTCAAAGTGGACCCGAAGACCCTTGCAAGGAGGAAATGAAGGAGGAGGCTCAAGGGGAGGATCCCAATTCCATTTTTTGACCATCAAAGCCTTGTGGATGCAGTGAAACTAGTCGACGTGGTCATTTGCACCATGTCTGGTGTGCATTTTCGGAGCCACAATATTTTGATGCAGCTCAAACTTGTTGAGGCCATCAAAGAAGCCGGAAATATCAAGGTATATACCTAACTTGTATCATAAAGTTATCAACGGAATCAGATTCTCATTTCTTAAGGGTTTATATTCAAAAAAACACTTTAAACAATTATTAACCTTAGTCTTTTAAACATCTTGATGAGATCTTTGTTTCAACAAATAAACACATCATTTAGCGACGTCATTCAAGGATTGTTTGACAGTATGATTTTTTTTTTTGGCTAAACTTTTTTTAAAAAAACTATAATAAAAAAATTATTAAAAAAATAAAAGAAAGTCATAAAAAAAAAACCCTCTAAAAAAAGAAAATCATACACGATTGTCATTCACGTTTTTTGATACAACTAAAAAATATCATTCTCAAAATAATTTTTTGTAAAAAAAAGAAAAAATTAAAATTAAAAAACTATTAAAAAAATCATTTCTCAAATGAAGTCTCAGTAAAATTTATAATAGCAATTATTTTTGAAAGTCACAAGCATGCTTATCCTTAAATGATTGTGCTTAATTAACTTTATTCAGGCTATGTTTGGCATAGGTTTTTTTTTTTCTTTTTTTGGCTAATATCATAAAAAGATAAAATAAATTAAAAAATTAATAAGATAAAATGTCATATCTAAATCATAATCATTTAATTTTTTTTCACAAAAATTAAGAAAGTCAAAAAATCCATCTCCAAACAAAACTTTTTAACTCCAAATTAAAATAACTATAAAACTAAAAACCATCCAAACGAAGGCTCTATGTCATTGGTTGCGTTGCAATGTGAATGTGATAGAAAAAGAATATAGCAAAGGGTTGTCTGCTATTTAATAAGAAAAATACTTGATACCTCTATTTTGGAGACATTCACAATTTTTTTTAAATCTCAACCATTAATATATATGTAGGGTTTATTCAGGATCCACACCATCAATGATAAAAATCTAAAGAGAATTATGGGGGTCATCAAAAAAACTGGGAGTCTCAATTATTGTTATTTTAATAATTGTGTGCTTTATTTCTTTTACTTTTGGACTAAACAATATATATGTCACTATTTAAATTGTGTGCTTTATTTCATTTTAATTTATAAGTTAAAAAAAATATTTAAAAAGTCAAAAAACTAATCAATTATATATAAAAAATTAAAAATTTTCTTTTCTCTTTATTTTTTATATATCTTTTTATATAAAAAAAATTAAAAAATTATCTTAAATATATTAATTTTTATTATTTTATATTTTAAATAAAAAATTTAAAAATTATTAAAATAATATATTTCCGCTCTAGAAATTGTCCACCCAACTCCATTAAATGAGAATCTTACGATATCATCAAGAAAAGACAACTTCTTTATCTTATGCGGTTGTTTAGCCTCTTTCATTAAAGCCTAGTTTGGGATGCTAAGTTTGGAGTGTTTTTAATTATTTAGCCACAAAAAAAAAAATAAAATAGATTTTTTAATTTAATAAGATAAAATATTACATTTAATTTATAATTATTATATTTTTTTTTCTTATAAAAAGTCAAAAATGCACTTATTTGGAACATCTTAAACCATTATTTCTAAAATTTTAAATATTTTTGTTACGTCAATTAATGATATGGTTATACATTTTGTGATTGATGACAAAAATTGTTTGGTTTCGTTTTTCTAAAAACAGTTTTCAAAAAATTCTTTATTAAAATAATATATTTCCGCTCTAGAAATTGTCCACCCAACTCCATTAAATGAGAATCTTACGATATCATCAAGAAAAGACAACTTCTTTATCTTATGCGGTTGTTTAGCCTCTTTCATTCAAGCCTACTTTGGGAAGGTAAGTTTGGAGTTTTTTAAGTTATTTAGTCAAAAAAATAAATAAACAAAATAAATTTTTTAATTTAATAAGATAAAATATCACATTTAATTTATAATTATTACATTTTTCTTTTATAAAAAAACTAAAAAAGTCAAAAATCCTTCACAAACGAGACTTTTTAGCTTCAAATTAAAATATTTAAAAAATCAAAAAATTAAAAAGTCAACCCATTTTCCAAACGGACTCTAAACAAAGTATTAAAGAAATCATTGAGTAAGACTATTAATATTGAATTCATAGAAAAATATTAAAAATTGTATATGTCAACATATATGATTTGATTTTTAAAAAACACAATAAGGGGTTGTTTGGGGTGTCCAAAATAAGTGTACTTTTTGTCTTTTTAGACTAAAAAGTTGAGAAAAAAAATATGAATGTTTGGATTAACTTTTTGACTTTTTACGAAAAAATGTGTATTAAAAAATTGTATAAAAAAATGTACAGAGAAGTTATTGATAGCCCGTCCAGCAGTTTGGTAGAGAAGTGGCAGATTAGGAGATAGGAAATTATTGCCTACTTCTCGGGCTTAAATTGGCGGTGTTGTCCAGCCCTTGGGGGCCCACAACAGGTCACGTTTTGCTAATCGGAATCGTTAAATGTGTAGAACTCGTCGAGTACTATGTGCTTGTAAAAAATCATGGTGATTGGGCATCGATAACTATCTGATCGTGTTAGTTTTTTTGTTAACTGTTAAATATAACACCATCCATTTTTTATACTAAACTAATTTGATCATATAGTTAGCAATATCCGATTAACGTGATTTTTCATAGGCATATAGTACTTGACGATTTCTATACATTGAACAGTTCAGATTATCAAAAAGAGATCTGTGATGGCCTCCACTGGCCCAATATTATTCTCCAATTTAATGAATAGATATACTTTTTTTGTTTTTTTTACTCCATTGACAGCCCAATAAAGTGCACTGTCACCGCGGGTACCACCAGTCACGTCTTTGTATGGTAATATTGTGTAAATTAATATTTTTATATTTTTAATTGATAAATAGTAATAATTTTTTAACTTTTTAAATTTTTTATAGATTGCCAAACTTGGCCTAAGAATACAGAATGAGGATACTTTTATGTGATTTAATTCTATGTATATGTAAATTATCCAGAGATCAACTTTGATTCGAGGGGTTTACATGTTGGATTATCATGCGCCTTTAATTATGATACAATTATTAAAAGGTTTTCCACACACATTATGATGAGTAATACTTTATTAAAAAGTCATTTTTCCCTTAAATTTAACTGTCCAATAATTAAAAAAATAATAATAAGAAATTAGTTTAACTGTCCAACATATAAAGTTTTTAAAAATTGAACATTTTTGTCTTCAAAAGTAAAAACCTTGTCACAAAAACATTAAGGGTGTGTTTGGTAACGTTTACGTTTTCAGTTTATATTTACAAAAATTTTATAAATTGGTTTTTGTTCATTTTTTGTTTATTTTTAGAAAAATATAAACTGCAAACGCGTTTGGTAATTGACAAAATGTTTGAAAAAAATTTAAAATATAAAAAGAGTGAGAAATAACAAGTGGTGGCAAGTGGCGGCAGAAGACGAAGAAGTGGTTTATCGCTAAATGTCCCATTTTCATAGCTAAGAATACAACAATGACAACTAAAATATTTTGTCTCTAAAAAGTGATTCCATCCTTAAATTTTTTTTGCTAAAAATTTAATTTATTGTAGTGAATAATTTTCATATATTATTGCCTATATTTGACCCAATATTATGGTAGCCCACGTAATTATGATTTTGAACTTATTGTAAACATTATCTATCTACCAACATCATGACGCATTGATTTTCTTGTGGGATCATTTGATGCAAGAAGTCTTATTTGTTGGAAAATCTGAATTTAATTTACTTCAATAGTTGTATCTCTTGAAATGAAAGGGTGTGTCCTTTTGAAGGATCACAACCTTTTCGAAGAGTCACTTAGAAGTCTTTATATTCCATGTCCCTCACTTCATTTTAAAAGTGGTGAATTGCCATTCTTCTTCACTTTGCATTTATTCTTCATTTTTTCTGAGTCTAATTTTCCTATAAAGAGAGTTCATGCACAGCAAAGTTCGCTAGGCTTGCAATAGTAGTGCTGCTAGTGCAAGACATTGATCGTTGTATCCTGGGAGATAGACGTCCATTGAATCCTAAGCACCGGTGGGAGGACGAATGATCGTTGTATCCTGGGAGATAGACGTCCATTGAATCCTAAGCACTGGTGGGAGGACGAATCTGTCTTAAGGAAAGAGTGTCACACACTCGACTCGATCAGGTTTTATCTTTTTATGTACTGTAAGTTTAATTACGTTATTATGTTGATTTATTTCAGTTTTTGGTTTTGCCCAAAAAAAAAAAAACGTTTGCATAATTTTAAATTATATTTTCCATTTAGTTTGGTACTAATTTTTCTAACAATCTTAAGACAGATTCGATGTATATAATTTTCGGGCAAATATGTTTTGTGTATTAGAACTGTTGTTAAACAGATTTATCATTGTTAAAACAGTTCCAGTTATAACTCATAAGTAGTTTGAATCTACCAGAAATCAATTTATTTTTGGTTGGTTACTTTAATAACTACTTTCATACGGGTTTGGAATTTGTGAAACAGTCTTTATGAACAACAGAACCAATACATGTTGTTACACTCACGGCGCTTTCATCGAATTGTGTTTTCGTGAAAGAAATTGAATTTCTTCACTGCCCATTTATTACCCAATTCGGCATTGAATTTGTTATGCGTAACAGTCCCAACTTGTGTTCTGTGTCAGTTGATGGAATTCAAATTCCGAGTCCTCTGTATATGACTGTTATAGATTTTGCTTTTGCAAGAGGTTTATCCTCAGTTGTATAATCGTGTATGTTCTCTTTATCATCACATCTTGTCAAAATGTTTCTGTTCATGTGTATATATATATATATGTATATATATGTAATTTGTTATATCTATCCATATATGTTTTTCTTGTTTTGTTTTATTAAAAAAAAAAGAAGGCAAAAACAGATTATGGTATTTAGAAATTACAAATTGATGAGGATCTATTGATTTGATTAATCTTAAAATCTTAAAGTTGAAGTTTAAGAAACATAGTGGGGTTATGCTCTATGTTCTTTTAAAGTAAAGGTTTTTCAGAGTTTGAAAATTGTGAAAACGTGTCTTTCAAACTTGAAGTGGTACTTGTGGAGTTGTGACTTTTTGGCATCCGAGTGCTCTCTAAAGCAAATCTTATTTACAGATTTTCTTGATTTTTGTTTATTAACATGCCTCGCTCAAGAAGTGGGAACTATAAAAAGGAAGAGCCTAAGAACAACATTGACATAATCATTTCTGTATCTTGAGTCAAGAGTTTTCGTGAGATTATGATCCGTAATAATTTTTTACTCATGATTGTTTTACTCACTCCAGTGATGTGCATTATCAAGTGATTGAGATTATTAAAAAAGGTTGATTTGTGGATGTCTGTTAATAGGTCCACAAAGATATATTTGTTTATAAATTAGTATCTCAAGTTCCTCTTAAGGAAATGCACAAATATTTGACAGATATTTTATGGAAATGTCTCAAAAATGTGTTTTTAAAATCAAGTTATGATTTTTATTAGTAAAATCTGGTATGATTTTTGGTTTGTGAATTCTTGAAACTTGAGAAAATATATAATATATGTTATATACTTGGGTTTTTTGAATATAATTTGATGTCATTTACATGTGCATATTAATTTGTAGTAATTCTAATTAATTTGCAAAGAGCCTTATGGTGTCATATGTTGCCATAAAATCTTTTATGGGAAAAGAAAAATGTGATGTGTTAGTTTTTGACTAATTTATTTCCAGTGCTTTGTCTAAGAAATTAAACTTTATTTGAAAGTTTGTGAAATTTTTAATTAATTTGTGATTGTGATGATGACATACCAATGGATCTCTTGTGGGATATAATTTCAAAAAGTATATTTCATGTGTAGATAACCCTTTTGTTTGATTCTGATAGTAGTTTTAGGCAATCATTAACACTGAAATAAATTTAAACATGATATTTCAATTAATAATGGTGTTTGTTCCATTTAATTGAAAATAGATTGAGGAATCTTTTGTGTTGATTATTATTTGTTAATAATCAATTAAAAGTTATTTTTAAAGTAACTTTAAATTTTTGAGATAAGATGTCTTCAGTCTTTATTTCACTTGTGTGGTAGACTTGGTTGTTAATCTTGTCCATGTCTACATATGGGAGTTTATCTTTTGAATGAGAAGAGATAATTCAATTTCTTTGTCCCAAATATTCATCAAAAATGAATTATTAGTTGTGACAGTGACACTTGTCTGGGAATGAATCATGTTGTTTGTGCTAATTTATGTATTATTACAAACGTGGGGGAAGAGAGATTCCTTGTCTACATATGTTGTAGAGTTGACAATCAATTTATGATGTCATTAATATCATTTTGGTATGCGGTGTATTATAAATAGATGTCAATTATTTATCAAAGTATTGATAAAAATGTGATGGATGTTAATTATTTATCAAAGTATTGATAAAAATGTGAACTTATGTGTTTTGACATAAGAGGAATTCTAATTATTCTTTGGAATAATTACTAAAATTGGTGTGGTGACTGATAACTCCGTAATGAAATATTATAAGTTAAAATATTTCATGATTTATAAACTGAGACCACTGATTTATAAATCAAAAATTTTACCAAACAAGTTTTTATTTGAGTTTTTTAAATTTTTGTAAATATAAACAGAAAACAGAAAACGTAAGTGTTACCAAACGGCACCTAAGAAACAAATCTTTGATATCATGGTAGCCGTCTTGAAAGTAAAAAATTAAAATTAAAAAATAATAATAATAAATCTTCTAGAAACAAAATTTTGACAATGTTGCTAATAGACGCGTCTTTTAAAAACAAAATAATTCCGTGCAAAAAAAAATAAAATAAAATTTTTTGTCCAAAAAAGAAGTGGTTTATCGCTAAATGTCCCATTTTCATAGCTAAGAATACAACAATGACAACTAAAATATTTTGTCTCTAAAAAGTGATTCCATCCTTAAATTTTTTTTGCTAAAAATTTAATTTATTGTAGTGAATAATTTTCATATATTATTGCCTATATTTGACCCAATATTATGGTAGCCCACGTATTTATGATTTTGAACTTATTGTAAACATTATCTATCAACCAACATCATGTCGCATTGATTTTCTTGGGATCATTTGATGCAAGAAGTCTTATTTACACACATACTCAAATTTATATCAATTGTATATACTTTGTGAATTTTGTTTCTGAAACATACCCTTTTATGTCATATGACCAATGAAAGTAATCTTAATGGAAAGATAAAATGACAAAAAGGTAAAATAAAGAAAGGATGTCATGCTTGAATACGTTGAATTTGTATTTTTTACTTTTTTTAAAAAATTTTTGTGATAAGAACAAGGGTTATTTAAATAAGTAAAAGTGGAACATAAAGAACAAAACAAAGTTATCAAGTTGCTTAATGCAATTTTAATAGATTGATAGTAGGTATGATTGGTGCAAATATATTGTTTATTATTTATACGGACATTACTTAATAAGTCCAATGAGATCAATCAAACAAGTAAAGGGACAAAAAAGGCAAAATAGTGTTGTCAAAGACAACCCTCGACCAAGAAGCCACCTTTTTCCCAGTGGAATAGCATGGTTTTGGTAACCTAAAATAATAAATATATAAATAAAAACTTTATGTTGAGTTGTTTTCAAACATTGACAAAAGAGCGTGGAGTTGTTTTCAAACATTGACAAAAGAGCAATACTTTTAATTGAGAAAAATGATTTGGACCACAACAGGGAGGCACTTCACGACCCCCTCTGACTTGTGATTGGTCTGTTTTTTTATTTTATTTATTTATTTTTTCCTCCAATCACCAACTCCCACGTGTAGGTGGTGGGGAGAGGGGTCTCTATCACGTCCCTTTAATTTAATAACGAGCTCCAACTTCTTTTTTTCCCTTGTTTCTTTCCTTATTTGTTTCTCTAAAGTCTCTACAAAAATGGGACTAAGGTATCGTTTGGTAATATCATTTTTTTATTTAAAAATCAAAAAATCATTAAAAAAAACAAAAAAGCCAACAATCTATAGTCTCCATCACGTCCCTTTAGTTTAATAACGAGCTCCAACTTCTTTTTTTCCCTTGTTTCTTTCCTTATTTGTTTCTCTAAAGTCTCTACAAAAATGGGACTAAGGTATCGTTTGGTAATATTATTTTTTAATTTAAAAATCAAAAAATTATTAAAAAAAACAAAAAAGCCAACAATCTATACCAAGAAATCAAATATTTCATTTTCTCTCTACTTTTTGCATATTTTTTTATAAAAATTAAAAAGTCATTTCAAATATACAATTTTTTTAATCATATTTTAACTAAAAAATCAAAAAAATTACTAAAAAAAAGTATTCTCAAAAGAGGCCCAAGTCAAACCGATCAGGTTGTGATAAGAATTACTCAAACTAGACCTCTCAAACCAAACTCATCTCTCCAAGCCTAGTTGAGCCCATGCTCAATAAATTAAACTCGGACTAGCTTTGAATTGCCCACAAATTTGGGCCGATTTTTTTTTCTCTCCACCTAGGCTGCTTAATTTTTTAAAGTTCAGCTCTACTAATATTTTTTTGGCAAAAAGCATAATTATCTTCAAATAAATAACTTTGCCACAATAATGTTATGTGTAGGTGAGAAATGATACATATATATATATATATATACATAATTTTAGCGTAATTAACAACCAATGTCTTACAGATATAATTAATATTTTTATATATTTACATATACCATTGGAATTTTGGGTTGCCCTTTGAATGCACCCATGTCCGGCCCAAATGCACTTCAAGCTTTTGAATTGCTGTCGAAGCATGTACTGAGTTCAAAAAATATACTACCCAAACTATTACAAAAATTAGGATTGGTCCCGTGTTTCTTGAATTGAGCACGCCCGAGTAAATTAGTAACATAAAATCAATTGTAATCAGTCAATTGCCTGTCTTCGATCAATGAGCCATTAAGCTGAGATTAATATGGAAATACCAAGTTTAAAATTTGGTTCCTTTGTTTGTGAATGTCAAATATACAAGCTTTGTTTCATTTGGAAACAAAGCTATTTTAATGACTTTTTGATTTTTTACGAAAAAAAATACAGAAAAGTAGAGAGAGTGATATAGCAAAAAAATATACTACCCAAACTATTACAAAAATTAGGATTGGTCCCGTGTTTCTTGAATTGAGCACGCCCGAGTAAGGCCAAGTTTGGCATCCTCTAAAAAATTTAAAAAATAAAAAAGTCACTATCCTATTTAAGTCATATCATCTTATTTAAGTCACATCACCTCTCTAACACATCACTTCAAACCCAACCTAAATCCAACCTATATTTCATAAAAAGTCAAAAAGTACACTTATTTAGTCTTCCCAAACTTTGGCCTAAATTAGTAACATAAAATCAATTGTAATCCGTCAATTGCCTGTCTTCGATCAATGAGCCATTAAGCTGAGATTAATATGGAAATACCAAGTTTAAAATTTGGTTCCTTTGTTTGTGAATGTCAAATATACAAGCTTTGTTTCATTTGGAAACAAAGCTATTTTAATGACTTTTTGATTTTTTACGAAAAAAAATACAGAAAAGTAGAGAGAGTGATATAGCAATTTATAGTAACTTTTTGACATTTTAACTAAAATGTATAACTGACAAACGAGGCCTAAAATCTAAAAAATATATTGTGCAAATTGTTGCAGAGGTTCTTGCCCTCGGAGTTTGGTACAGACCCGTCACGAATGGACAAAGCTCTTGAACCTGGAAAAGTCTCATTTGATGAGAAGATGACAGTGAGAAAGGCAATTGAAGAAGCTAAAATCCCCTTCACTTACGTCTCCGCTAACTGTTTTGGTGGTTACTTTGCCGGAAACCTAGCTCAACGTGGCACTCTTGTTCCTCCAAGAGACAAAGTAGCCATATATGGAGACGGCAAAACTAAAGGTACTATAATGCTCGTAGTCAGTGTACAAAGCTCCAGCTTATAGCAATATCTATGCTAGGACTTAATCGTGTACATAATTGTCTCAATTTATACAGTGATCTATTTGGCCGAAGAAGATATAGCAACATACATAATTGTTTCGATTTATATGTTACAGTGATCTATTTGGACGAAGATGATATAGCGACATACACAATCAAGACGCTAGATGATCCTCGTACCTTGAACAAAACATTGTACCTTAGGCCACCCGAAAACATCCTTACTCAACTGCAGTTAGTTGAGAAGTGGGAAAAACTTCTGGGTAAAAAACTGCAGAAGTTTAGCATCTCTGCAAAAGACTTCCTAGCTTCCATGAAAGGTAAAAATAAAAACAAAACATTTTTTTTTTATAATATGAACTATATTAATCTAATTTAACTCTCTTAACCATATACTATGCAGTTATGGACTTCACAGAACAAGTAGGAGTGGGGCATTTCTATCACATTTTCTACGAAGGTTGCCTCTCAAACTTTGAGATAGGAGAGGAGGGAAAAGAGGCTTCGGCGCTCTATCCTGAGGTTCGATACACTCATATGGACGCATACCTGAAACGCTATCTGTGATTACAAGTAGTACAGCTGTAGAGCTTATATATTTGAACACTGGTGGTTTCTGAAAACCTTTCAGAAGACAAGTTAATAAGATACCATGTTCATGTCCAATAAAATTTTCATTGTGATTTGTGTTTTGATTTCACTCATGAGCTAACATATGTATAAAACAATACCCAAGTTTGTTTTCCTACTTCAGCCCTTGGGGCTATTTGTTGCAGCTTAATCTAAGTGGAAAGTTGGTGATCTATTAAATAGAATCTAAAAGCACTCCTCCTCTCCTCAACTTCAAAATTATTAGTTTTTCAGCTTATTTAAACTATTTTTACCGTATAAACTATAAGCAGATACAGTAGCAAACAGTCTAGCACAGAATCTCATAATTTTTATATAAAAAAAAAATTCAAAATACATAAGCTGCCACAAAACCACACCTTTGTGCTAATCCTTAGTACTAGACCATTTTAAGGTCTCTCTCTCTCTAAACATTGAGTGGTATAGAATTTTTAGTACCTAACCAAGTTCCATAGACTGAAAGCAATAAATTTGGCTTTTTGCAAGTCATTTTCCAATAATACACTATGGTTGCGGCACTGATCGAGGCATGGTGGTTGTTTCCATATACTACAGATATATAACTTAATTAGGCACCTAAAATCAAGCATTGAGCCAAAATAAAAGACAAGATCTAGAATGAAAGCTATTAACATAAATGTTGCATCTCATATTGCATTGTAATTCCTAGTACAAGTCTATGACAAAGATCTATCAAAGTAGCTAAAGAGCAAAGTGAAAAAAACAATTAAAAAAAAGAGATAACATAAACAGAGGAACAGAAGATCAAAGGAAATTGACACCTTTTGGGGAGTTGTTGAACCATTTCTATACCAAATACACCAAGCTACTTGGGAGGCTAGTAACACATTCAATACATTATCTTTAACACCTAAGCAAAGCCTAATCCACTAATGTGTTCCTAATCAAAGTCCAAGGGCCCTCAACAATGTATTGACAATCTTCAAATAAACTATTCTTAGATAATTGCATGCACTTGGGCTCATGTGACTATAGCTGACCCTCAACCTTAGTTCTTTTCTTATTAATTTTCTTGGTTTAGAATCTAGACTACATCCAACCAGGATGGAACAATTAGTCTAAGACATGTTAAAGGCATCTTCTTGAATAACTAGTCATGTGGGCTCTAGTATTCAAACTCATACGTTTAAGAAGGGGAAATACCTTCTTTACCCTTTTTGTTGACAGGGGATACATGCCTTCATTTACTATCAAGAATGTCGCCGATACTCATGTAGTTCAATAACATCTGATTAGTGGTATTACTACATCAGTTGTTGATGTATTGAGCTCTATTTTTGACTGCCCAGGGGAGGACAACTTCGTGCTTCTTGTAATTGTTGTACTTGTTATATGAATGTGGTCAAGTAGCATTCAACTTTTCCATATAGTTGAATGTCCAGTTTGAACATCCCATAAAAAATAAAATACATGACCAGCCCAAGTCAGTGGCACTACTAGTTCAGATATAATGTAATCAACATGTCCTAGTAAAATGAACATCAATTGAAGCCCTAATTTATAGTGTCCAAGCCCAAAGAAAAAGAAAATTACTAATCTATAACAACCAACCAGCCTGCCCCAACGGACCTACATGAACTAGTCTAGCCTGCTCAACAATCTGGAACCCTAGAGAAAACTACAGAATCAATTTACCAGAACCAAATGCATTCCTTTTTAGCGAACGAGTAAGAAAATGTTAAATAAGACTGATTCGATTGACAGTGATGAGTAATTTAGAGAATAAGCAATCTGATACATGGAATTGATCAAATTATGGCCCAGAACTCATAATTCAGACTGCTGAATATATATATCAACTTATCAACCGTAATTCACAAGAATATATATATATATATATTAAAAATAATAATGAAAAAGGAAGTTTGGAAATTATTTGCAGTACTATCAAAAAAAATCAAAGAATCACTAACAATGTTCAAAAACATGTCGTTAATCATCCCATATGATATGAGTTGTATGACCTTCAGTCCTCACCCATAGGCTCCATAGTTCAACGTGTTGACGCAACATGCTTTAATATACAGAGACCCAACAAAACTTATCAACACCACCAATGCATAGGTATCGGCTGATGAGTTATCATGGCAACAAGACTCAGAATAATAGCATTCATGTATCTGGACTAGTAATGACAACAAATATATTTAGCTACTGAAGGTGAAATATATATCAATAGAAGAAAATGTAAAATACCATATTTTCAATTCTAACTCCTATATGCAAGTGTCTTGGCTTCCATTTCAGATCTACTTGTGCCAATGAAATCATAGCTCCCTCTAGTATTCAAATCAAAATTTACGGAACCGCCTTCAACTTTAAGCTTGATGTCTTTCCTTTCCTCTACCTCCCCCAAGTAAAGTGACCCATTCGCTTTCCTATTAATGTCATTCAATAAGCTCTTATGTATATTGTTTTCATTCCTCACTTCCCCATCCACGTTCTCCATGAGATTTGATAGAGCCAAATTGAAGTTGGTTAGTTGAGCTCTTGTGGCTTCGACACTTGCTGCAGGGAAGTTCATATCGAGTGTGAGGCTCTTTTGAGCTTTCTCTAATATTGTTTGCAAGTACTTCCCTTGGGCCTCTATTCTCATCTGCAACTTCTTTTGTACCTATTACATATTAGGAGAAAAATAGAAATCAGACAACAGCCAACAATCACAGCATGAATTAGCAATAAGTTCATGACCTACCATGGCGAAGAGGCCTACAATTAAAGGAAAATTGTTCACAAAACTGTCGAATAAAAGGTATACCTCGAGTTGCTCTTGTAATCTTTTCTGTACTTCAACCTGACACCGCAGTGCCTCTGCAATTGGCAGTTCTCTGCTCAGAATAGAAAATAGAACATTCATTAGCAACAATATGGGCAGTTTCAAGAACAAATTTTACTTGAAGCAAAAATTTTCACACTAAATTCAAGGCTATAATCATAGTTTTTTCTACTCAAACACAAGAATAGAAATCACTCCAAACCAAATAGAAAGAGAGGTTGCTTCGTATTAAAGAAACAAACAAATATAGGGAGTTGAATTGTGATATCACCACACCCTTGTTCAGTATTCACTCCCAGTGAATGGGTAGTTGCACTTGAGGAATGCACTTGGTAATCTCTGTAGGAACCATCTGGATGCAGAAAGAATAATGCATAATAAGAACAAATTTGGTAAGCCACAATAGAAGGCAGTGACTTGGACAAAATTACAAATAAAAGGGAAAAAAAAAAGTAGATAGTAAAGGGTTAGAACCACATGGAAATTTTTACCATTAAAAGAGCCAATAAAATTAGTTCTTACAAAGCTTACTATTAACCAGCTCTTCAAAGCTAAAAATATGATTTAAGTATTTCATCCGTTGTTCAAAATTCAGAAGTGAAGACAAATGAAGGCATAGCTAAAAAGATTTTCCACACTGTCACTGAATTGAGGATTTCATGTAAAACATGGTTTTAACTATTCCAATCATTATCAAAATTAAAAAATAAAATAAGAAGTGAAAAGAAAATACAGATATAATAATAAAAAAATAGTACAAAATCATTTGTTTCCCCTTTGAAGATCTAAATTGAAGCTGTGCTCATGAAAAGAAAAAAAAAAGATTTCAGCTAAAGGAGGAACAATTGGCAAGAAAGGTTGCTTTGTAGTGAAATTTTTTAATATTAATCAAAAAGTAAAATGTACTCACCATTGTTCTCTCTGTTTTGTTCTATAGTATTGTGTTTCTTGGCCTGCTGCCCAAGTCTATACTTCTGCACATCAAAATTTGGAAGAACCTTAAATTGGCAGTTCATAGAAAGCAGCATAGAGGGGAAGGAGTGCAAGAAACAAAAAGCACACCTGTAAATGACTCTTTAAATGGTACAACGTCAAGCCCTTTACGCCCATCACTCTCAGCACCGACTTGGGAGTTGCTTCTGCAAATTGAAAATCCTCCCGGAATTGAGTTTGTACTAAGCTCGCAATTGATAAAAGCTATAATACTTGTGTAGACAGAACACTTTTAAATCGTGATATTGTTTCATCTACTTGTAAACACAAGAAATCAATGAAATGGGTGAAACCTAATAATTTTATATATTATTCATAATAATTACTATTTTTCACCTCCCATTTATTTATAGGAATAATTATCATGTGATTCACATCCATGGTTCAAAATGAGACATATTATGTGCTGCTAAAGTGCAATTTTACATTCTTCATTGAGGCCTCTATAGGCGGGATTTAATGCAACAAAATTTAGGTTCTTCCCGAAAAGGAGACATTAAGTATTCTCAAAGAGTTAATTAACAAACAGCATAAACTGAACCATGGCACATTAAAATGCTAATCACGAGTTTTTTATGCAGTTTTAGATCGATAAATGGCCAAATTAGACAAAGTCCTGAGAAAGAATCTAAAGATCGACAAAGTAAGCTAAGGACATGACCCTACTACTTTTGGAAGAGTGAGAGCGGATTTGCTAAACTACGATCTATCTCCTGAAATTACAATTTAAAACACAAATTTAGCAAAACTATTTGTAATATGAACAGACTTTTCACCAATCAGTTTCGCAGAAATTCACAGCATGCCACAAACAGATCAATTTCAATTTTCATATTTTGATTTCACAATCAAAGAGCTGCTCATCCACTTGTCCTTGCACATTCTAAAAATTCCAAATTTGGCATAGATACTATACAAGTATACTAACACTTTAATTTGAACAGATTGCCCATCCCCCTTTAAAAAAAAAAAAAAAAAAAAGGATTGGTGAAAATTTCAATGTTACAAACAAAATTATCCATTTCAATTTTATTCTAATATAAGAGTGACTTAATTGTTTATATCTTCAACACTAGGCCTTCTAGGTTCATCAATGGAAAGAAATTTTAGAACAATTAGTCAAACCCATTTTTGCAAAAAGGATACTTTGTATGTCCAAAACAGAGAGAGAGAGAGAGAGAGAGAGAGAGAGAGACTGACTGTCAGGGCCACCAAGCTTGGTGACTGCATCGACAAATCGGTCATGGAGATCGGCAGTCCACCTCAGCCTGGGCTTTGGGTCTCTGGACATCACCACCCCACTCTCGTACGGATAACCACTTCCTCCTCCGCCAACGCCGCCGTAGCCTCTCTCCATCATCTCTCTCTCTCTCTCTCTCTCTCCTGGTTTTTTTAGGTTTTAAATTTTAAAACCCTAACTTTGAAAAAGAGAAGAAGATGAAGGGGGGAATGAATTCCATCAAAAAGGCCAAAAAAGAGTGGAAAGCTTCAAGAACAGGGAAATTGAGCATGAGAAGCTACCACCCTGTTTGAGAAAATAGAGATTGTATGGGTTGGGTTTGATAGGAATTGAATTGATAGTGAAACATAATTACTAGAAAAGTTGAGAAAGTGAATATTTGAATAGAAATTTCTCTGATGCTTCAAATCCAAGTTAATCTAAACACACACACACACACAGAATACAAATGTGAAAACTTTGGAGAAGAAAGAGTCACATTCATGACAGAGACATGTGACTCTGTGCATATAATTGTAGAGTAGTGAAGAAAGTATTTTATGCAACAGTTTTGAGATGATGTTAAGGGCTGGCCTTGGAAATTTGTGTTCTTTTTTTTAAATAAAAAAAAATAGATATATAAAAAAATAGATAAAATAATGTGATAATTTATAGTATCTTTTTTATTTTTATTTTTTTTTGCTATTTCACTCACTCTCAAAACATGCCTAAGTTTGCTTTAAGGTAAAATTAGAAAATATTGTGATTTGTGTTACAAATGATAAAATAAAAATATTACAAATTATTTTTTTGTAAGAAATATTATAAATCATTTTAATAAAAAAGTTGTACATTAAATATTGCAATAATAATATTACTTACATTGCAATAGTGTCACTTGTTTAGAAATTTAATATTTTTACTCGGTCACTAATATATAATTCAAGTGACCAAAATTAAGGTTTGTCTTGGGTATACAAAAAAATAATCAATTTATTGGTTTATTCACTTATTTAGATCAAATTATTTCTCTATTTTTTTTACCTATCTTTTCATAATAAATAAAAATATTTAAAAATAAGTCATACACAAATTAAATTGGAAGATAGTATGTGAATAAACTCAATTTATTATTAACATGGTTAAAAAAAATGTTGAAAGGATGAAATTTCAAATTCAAATAAATATTGTAATAATTTAATTTCATCATTTTACTAATTTTTATAATAAAATAACAAAACAAAAATTCTGACCGAATCCAATGTGTACAGAACACTTTCTGCTCAAAATTTCTCTCTCTTATAAATTGGTTATTATGCCACATTCATATAATTTTTTATCCTCAAAATTTTTTGAATGCGGTAACACAGTAGGGGTGGTTTGAAAAGTTTGTTAAAAGTTAATTTTTTAATTTTTTTAATTTTTTATGCATAAAAATGTAAGAGATAATATAACTTAAAATAAATTAAAAATTAAAAGTTAACTTCTCAAATTACCCGAGAATTCATGTAAGAAGAGTTTTAAAAAAATACAAAAGTGTAATAAGTCAATTTTTTAAATTTTGCTTGTCAAATAATTTGAAAGATATGAAAAAAAAAATTGTGTGAATAAATCATTTTTCATATTATATATATATATATATATATATTTTTTTTTTTTCCAAATTGTTTGTTCCGTATAACAATGAGAATTTAAAATTAATATATTTATTGTAAAAAAAAATTTAAAAATACGCAATATTTTGAAAAAAAAAATAAAAAAATAATTCATCCACACAATTTTTTCTTCTAAATCCACACAAATGACATGACAAATAAAATTTAAAAAACTTATTTGTATTCAAATATTTTCTCAAAATTCTCTTTATATCTATTTTATCTTACCACCTCATTAAAGAGATTATAAAAAGAAAAAAAATTATATAAATAGAAAAAATTATTTATAAGTCATATTTGGAAGACTTATTTAATGTGAAGTCTTATGAATATTCTTTCAGAGTTTTAAGTACTATTTAAATAAAACTGTGTTCCATAAGGTCCTATGAATTGTAAATAAATAATATTAGTATACTATTATACACCTAGTTTGTCTTCATATTATACCTTATTTTCTCATTCATCATATTATGTTTGGAAAGGCTTTTAGAAAAGACAAAGTTACAAGTAATGGCTGTGGGAGTTTTTTTCGCCTTGATCGCGGGATTCCAATGCATTTTCAAAATGTTGCTTAAATGGATGTGGATATGGTCGATGGTAAAATGAAGTTTGAGAGTTGTGGATTGATTCTTTCGACAAATTTCGACTCCAATCGATTGAAAGGAAGAGGTAATTTTTTATTTTTTTTATTTTTTGTTGAAGTGTATTGCTGTTTATTGAAATATGGATTGTTCATTTTTAATAGGGCATTAACAATCTATTACACTCATTGATAGACACACTTTGACCAATGTTCTGATTGTTAAATATGTGTACTTGACATTGTGATGGTTGATACGTTTTGATATGTGAGGTGGTGTGTATGGGCTCAAGGGTTAGGTTGGGGGTATTTGGTTTTGGTTGTTAATTGAATATTGAATGTAAACTGCGTCGTAGAATAGCAATTATACATTGAGACCTGGATAATCGTGTTACGATACATGTTACATTTAGTGTGCAATATTAATCCACATACACCATATAGTAGATGGCATTTGTGTGTTGTTCAGTTGTATATGTGTTTAAATGTGTATCATGTCTTTGTTGTAATCAGTGTTTACATACATGTCACAGTACGTTGAACAAAATTATTGGAGATTTGGATTTATAATTGAATGTGAATTGAATCTCATTACTCAATGTTGAAGTTACACTGGGTTGGGGTGATGGTGGTTCAATACATGTGTTGGATTGGGATATTACATGTTACATTTAGAATGTTACATTATTCACAATTCAACGGTAGAGTATTGGAATGTCACGTTAAGTTTGGGATGAGAAGCATATGAGAACGTCATGGTGAGTTTGGGATGTTACTTGTTACATTTACATTGGATTTGGGATGAAAAGTATATGAGAACATCACGTTGGGTTTGGATGTTACATATTACATTTATGTTTTGAATTTCAAATTTTCAATTATATAGATATAATCACAATCTATGGTAACATTAGATTTTTCATATATGGTATTGCCATTATCAAGTTATTTTGAATTTCAGAAACATATGGAGATGTCACGTTAGGTTTGGAAATGTCATATTTGAGTTTAGGATGCTACATGTTATATTTACGTTTTGAATTTCAAATTTCCAACCCTATAGATATTATCATAATCTATGGTAACATTTGATTTCTCATATATGGTATTGTCATTAATTACGTTATTTTGAATTTTAAATTTATAACCATATAGATATAACCATAATCTATCATATCATTGGATTTCCCACATATGGTATTGCTATTAATTAAGTTATTTTAAATTTTAAATTTCTAAACATATAAATATGATCACTATGGTAACATTAGATTTCTCATATACGATATTATCATTAATCAAATTATTAATTAATTAAGATTGGATAGATGTGTTCACAAAAAAATTACAGAACCTATTAAGTTATAAATTTTTTCGTAAGATTATATCTTTTATAAACCTTTCAAATAAGACTTATAAATAATTTACCTATATAAATATAGCATTGTTGAAAAATATAGGCTCCGTTTGGTGGAGCTTTCAAAATATAATTCCACACTGACTTTTGAGTGTGATATTTGTTTAGCGTTTTCAAAAATTAATTCCACATTCACTTTTGAAAACTCTTTGCAAGGCGGGAAAATTTGAGCTAACTGGCCCGTCCTCTTGGACGTCTGGCCGATTGACCAGAGCAGTGTTCTTTTTCTTTCTTTTTTTTTAGCACCTGGTATTTTTTATATTTTAAATAAAAAAAATTCAAAATTTTTTAAATTTTTTTATGAGTTTTGAATTGTGTGTTTAGTTATAAGTTGTAAGTTTTTTTATCAAATATCACATGACACATCAAAAACTCCTCACTCAATTCAAAATTCTTTTCAAAACTCATTTACCAAATAAATTTTTCATACTCAGATCATAATTTTCAGAGCAGTGTTCTTTTTCTTTTTTTTTTTAGCACCTGGTATTTTTTATATTTTAAATAAAAAAAAATTCAAAATTTTTTAAATTTTTTTATGAGTTTTGAATTGTGTGTTTAGTTATAAGTTGTAAGTTTTTTTATCAAATATCACATGACACATCAAAAACTCCTCACTCAATTCAAAATTCTTTTCAAAACTCATTTACCAAATAAATTTTTCATACTCAGATCATAATTTTAAAACTCACAAACTCAAAATATAATTCAATTCTCAAATTATATTTAAAAAATTCTACCAAACGTAACATATATTTGGCTAGTTTAGAAAGTGGATTAAAAATTATTTTCCAATTTTTAACCCACTTTCCTTTCTCACAAAAAAAATCAAAAAATAATTTTTACTCATCTTTCTAAAACATCCATTATTATTTTTAATAATTTGAAACTAGTACATATAAAAAGAGGAGAAGACGACACGGAGAGAAAAGTTCGGCGACGAATCTGATGAAACCCATGATTGCCGAATATTTAATTATTATTTTAAATGTAATTACTGTGCACTCTTCACGAGTATGATATCTCTAGTTCTGGATCGTTGGATTTGAGAAGATGCGAAAATGTCCAGCGATCGGACGGTGAAAGGAGAGAGTGAGGAGAGAGAGAGGGACTGAGAAACGATAGGAGGGAGGTGGGATCGGGTGTAGGGGAGAAAGGGGGAGAGAGTGACACGTAGATGACAGAGTGGAATATTCGCCGACAAATCAGGGGATAGAATATTCGTGAACTCACGTGCCACGTCCGTAAATGGAGAACTACTACCATTCAAATGAAGAGAGAGAATATATACTTACATCCATATGCATGTGTGTCTATATATAGAGAGAGAGTGTGGGTGCGTTCAATGTATTTTTGTGGAGGGTGAGACTTTTTTTATATTTAAATAATTTGGGCGTGTTTTATAATTTATTTACTTATAAAAAGTATATTTGATACATACAAGTACTTTATAATTTTATTTTAAAAACTAAGAGGAGGTGATTAGAGGTGGTTGTTGGCGAATGATGATGACTGAAAATGATTGTTAATAATTTGAGAGAATGGAATAGGATGGTTGGCTGATAATAGAAACTGGTGACCACAAAAAAATTTATTAGTGGTCAAAGATGATTGTCGCTATAGAAAGTGATGATGACGAGAGGTCGTTAATAATGGTGGTCGAATGGTGAAGGTAGCTAGATAGTGTTTGCTGGTGATGATGACCAGTGGATGGTGGTGTAAGGAAAAGAGAAAGGGAATCATCCCTTAACAGCTCATATGATGTTTGAACTCGCAACCTCCATTGATGGCATACCACTGTATAGATATAGGAATGAATGAATGAAAAATTAATTTCCCAATAAGTGAAACCAAATTTTTTAGTTAAGCATTTATTAAATTTTGTAATCTATTATAATTTTTCGATTTGAAAACAAAACACCAAATGAGCTTTTGTTTATAGTTTTTAAAATTTTTGTAGACACGAAGGGAAAATTATGAACATAATTGCTACCAAACTGTCACTACAAATTTTATATTTTGAATTTATTTTTTAAATTCCTAATTTTCTTTGAAATTGTTCAAAGTCATGTTTTAACACATTGCTTTAAAAAAAAAATTACAATAAGTTAATTGAAAGGTTAGTTATATTACTTCAAACTTAAAATCATGTTTTCAAAATAAGTATTCATAATAATTTAGGAAATATGAAATTTCATCTCATTTTAAATTTTCATCTTATTTGAATCTTCTCTTAAAAAAGTAGAAAGGTGAAATTTCAGAAGAAAAAATATTTACTAATTTATTTTATCATAATAAAATTAGGACTTATATATGTTCATCTCAAATCACTAAATAATTTTTATTTTTTTTATTATTTACAAATTGATAAGCTTTATAAACTTTTTTATTAACTAATGTGTAATTCAACCAAAAAATAAATAAATAAATAATTAAAATATGAAATAGAACTCTCATAAATTTTAGGTTCATTATAATAATGTGATAAATGTCTCAATCAGTAATATATATATACATATATTATATTCATTTATAAGAAAATTTTATAATACATTCCCCTAGACTAAAACCTTTTGTTGTTTCCCTTTCTTTAAATATATATAAAAAAAAAAAAAAAAAAAAAAAAAAACCTTTTGTGGTTTTCGATTAGGATTGATAATAGTGCTCATTATGATTAAAATGTTATTTATTACTCATTTGAATGTTGATTACTTAGTTATAACATTACACTAAAGAGACTTTTTATTATGGTACGATTGGTAATTGATGTTTAGTTATGATCATTGTGGCCATTTGATTATATGTCTGTTTGTTGCAGCTTAAAAGCTGCTTATTTCAGCTTTCAGCTTAATTTAATTATTTTGATGTGTTTGGTTTAGCTTATAACTTTTTGGAAATCAGAAATCAGCTTATTCTTTGAGTGGGACAGGAGATGCTTAATTTATAAGTCAGAAATCAGCTTATGTTCATAGTTATAAGCTATAAGCACGGTGTTCATTATGATTAGAATGTTATTTATTACTCATTTGGATGTTTATTACTTAATTATAACATTACACTAAAGGGACTTTTTATTATGGTATGATTGGTAATTGGTGTTTAGTTATGATCATTGTGGCCATTATGACTAAAACTAGTATGATACAAAATAATATCTATAAGATACATTTTGATAGTATAGATAAAATCTTTTTTACTATAACTTTGACACAAAGAAGACTTGCACTAAATACAAGAATGAACTTGCACCATACACCACATGAAAATAAAATTATTTCTCTATTATTCCACTTAAAAGCAAATTCCCAAAAAAATTATCAGATGTCTCAGGTGTAAGTTGTGCCCTGGCCCCAACCAATCACAAATTGGTATATCTCTAATTTGTTTCACACCACCAACAGAAATCAATAAACCCATTCTCTCCATCAATCATATTCAATTTGGCACATCCACATGCCGTGCCATAGGAACATCAAATAACTTCTCCATTGCGATGTGACTGACTGCAGAATATTCCTTTACAGCTATAACTAGGACAAAGGAGAAGGGCTCCAAAGGACTTGTGTTAGATCTCTGAAGCTTCCCTTACCTCACTCTCTTCCCTCTTTTCCCTTACTTTCTTTAGTACTATACTGGTTCCAAGTTCTATCCTTTGTTTTCTTTATTCTCTTCTTAGATTCTATCTTTTTTTTCCTTTTGTTTTTTGTTTTTTCTTTTTTTTGGGGGTTCTCTCTGGGCTTATTATATCATCTTCTTATCTTTTAAATATTTTTACCCATAAATAAAAACAATTAAACTATATATATATATATATAGAGAGAGAGAGAGAGAGAAGTTGGCACAATCCTAAGGGCAAATATTTATCGGGGTGGGACTGTTATCATTTTTTACGCAGTGCTCGCTTGTACTGGGCGCTGTCTCACTAGTTTTCTCATTTCCAATATTTATGTGACATTCTACCAGTGAAAAATAAAGGATGATCAAAACAAAAAGGGACTAAAATATTGATGCTGGTGCCAGAGCACCTTAGATTACAGCCAAACATGACGAATTATACCCATCTCACTGGCTATTAGCTGTTTCACTCTCTCTTAATAACTTAAGAGCCATCTTCACTAGTCTCACCAGCATTGGTATAGTATAAACAAACAAGCCTAACTCAAAAGAAGATTTCAAAAGTATTATTATTGATCAACAATTCAAGCCAGTCAATATCTTCGCTTAAAACAATATGACTGAAATGTAGATGGGCAAGGAGTAGAATAATGTATAAATTCGACATAAGCAACAGAAGAATACCATTAGAATGCGGGATTTCCATTGATTATAGTTTTCACTTTATGCCCAAACTCAACAATTTTGGCCGGAGAGTGAGAGAGAGTTCTATCAGAAGTTCATCGCATAGATAACGGGAAAGTAGAGCTTTTAGGGAGCAGCTACCATATTTGAGAAAATGAAAATGGGTCAGCAATGACAGGTTTGATGTTATCAATGACGCATTATGTCAATGAATTGAATGCAATGATAAATATTATTGAGTTTACAAGAAAGCAATTTTAGTCAGTTGGGCATAGTTGGAATGTGAACTTGGGTGGTAGGGTCATGAGTGGTTCATTCCCGCCTAGCTTTTGAACTGCTATTCCCAGGGAATATCCTAAAGCTCGTGCAACAGGAACAGCCACCGCATTTCCAACTTGGCAGTACCTGTAAAGACCACAAAAAGAAGCAACTGTTGTGAAGGTTGCACTATCATATATGCGAAAGAGATGCCCAAACCAATAAAAAGCGAAATAACAAGTTCAAGGTGGAAGTTGTGTTTTGACATGTTTTATGAAGGTAAAAACTCACCCTATAATGCTTACAAATGGCATCAAACCACATTTCAAAATACCAAAGTTGTGTTTGGATTAAGAATTTAGAGAGGGATTTGAGGAGGGAAAGTGAATGAAATATAAGCTAAGGCTCCATTTGGATAGATGTGGATTTCAAATCAAGGATTTGACAAAGCTCTTTAATATAATCATCAAATAATTGGGTAAACTATCAAATCTAAATTTGAGTTATTCATCTTGCTTTCTCCTTGAATGAATAATGCCACATCCATAAATACATATGGAGCCTGAATTTTTTCACTTTCCCTTCCCATTTCTCTTCTCTCTACAAATCCTCACTCAAATCCTTGATTCAAACACAACCAAAGGAGCTATTGGGATCCATAGTTAAGTTATAAGTGTGTAGGCAAATCGATCTTTTGGATGTTCTTTGTTTTTACCCTCAGGTTATTCCAGCTGAAAGCAATAAATATCAAGTTGGCACAAAAACTAAGTTACCAGACAAGTAAAACTATTGAGCCTTCTTCCATTCTATCATTTTACGCTCACAAGTCTCATAAATTCATTACAAAATGTTTGTTCACAAAGAACCCCCAAACGTTGGTTATGTTAGAACGATTTAAAAAAAAGTAAGAAAATTGATTACACAAAACTACGTTAGTGAACAGGAACTAGACAGAAAAAAAATGGAAAAAAAAAGGTAGTGAGCAGGACCCAATATACCAAGAGAGGGCGCAGGGGACAATGGAACCCAATAATTTTTCTAAAAGTGACAATCCCACATCCTAAATTGTCTATTATACTGAGTTGCATATACTAAATATCTGAAAACACAACAAGTCAACTGTATTTCTCTTGGAAAATAAATGTTCATACCTTTTTTTAACTGTTCCACAGAACCTATAAAAATCAGGAAAGCCTTGTAACCTTGCATATTCTCGTATGGTGAGGACCCGGTCCTGCTCTGGATGTAATGCTGCCTAAAACAATTTATAGACTAATAACCTTGATTTATTTCCATTTAATTTAATCAAATAAAAAACACTAGCTAGAAAGGTACCTGATTGCGAAGATTAGGAAAAGTAACTACAGTTGGCACAGTCTCATCCCACCATAATCTTGCAAATGGTCTATCCGTACACCCAAAACTTTGATCAATTAATGCACAAGAATAAGTATCAGAAATGCCTTTACAAAGAAAAATCTCACCTTTTAGATTTCCCTTGTTCAAAAGTGAGGACATAATCTGGTACCTATAAGTAAACAAAGCATAATTTCTATAGTATTAGTCCAAATCATTGATTCCAGCCTGTTCTGATCAAATACCTTGTTTCAGCAGGGAGCAAGACAACAATGCTCCCATTTTATAATGGCTAATTTTCAGCACTGATTCTAGTTAATTCATGTCCTTTTTAGTACATTCCAACCCTTTTCCGTCCCATAATGCACTTTCAATCCATTCCCCACCTTTCAAATTCTTTTGACATGATTGTTTTTTTTTTTCTTTTTCCTTTCATTAAAAAAAAAAATGAAGCAAACATATCTAAATATTACATGAAAGATTTTGCATTTATTCTACATATAATCTTAATGGCTGTTCAATGACTAAAAAAAGAACACTTTCTCTCATGTTGTTCTGAAGGAATAACGAAAATGCCAATCAGAACACATTTTAAAAACTTATTGCAAGGACAGGAGTTTAATGTAGATATTGATGAATGACATGAAGTTTTGAACGTATCATTCCATTAAAAAAAACAATAATATAAAGATGGATATGAAATCTAGAAGATATCAGAAGGTACACCAGATCTTTTGCAAAAGAAAAAAAAATACGTCAATACATTGTCCTTTACAGTGCACAAAAAGTAACATAATTTTTTGACAATGTATGGCACAATGCGATAAATTTAAAAAATACCAAGATTAAGGAATGATTTGGATATCATCCCCTATTTATATTAATGAAGTTCAATAATTACAAGGGAGAGGCATAGAATAATTACAAAATAATAACCCAAATAATAATCTATTATTCTAATACTCCCCCTCAAGCTGGTGCAAAGATATCTCTCATGCTCAGCTTGCCTAAGATGCCATCAAAGGGTTTACTCCCAACTCGCTTGGTGAGGATGTCAGCAAGTTGTTCACCAGACTGCACAAAGGGCGTACATGTTGTGTCACTAGTGAGTTTCTCCTTAATAAAGTGGCGATCAATCTCAACATGTTTTGTCCTGTCATGTTGAACTGGATTGTAAACAATATTGATAGCGGCCTTATTATCACAATATAACCGCATGGAGTCAGTCTAATCAATTCCTAGATCACTCAACAATACTTGATCCATAAGAGCTCACACAGCCCTTGTGTCATAGCTCTAAACTCAACTTCTGTACTTGACCTGGCAATCACATTCTGTTTCTTACTTCTCCAAGTAACTAGATTGCCTCCAACAAAGGTGCAATACCTTGAAGTCGATCTCCTATCAGCTACTGATCTTAGCCCAGTCAGCATATGTATAGGCTTTCACATGAAGATGATCATACTTTGAAAAATAAAGACCCTTACCAGGAGCAGGCCCTTACCAGGAGCAAACTTCAAGTACCTCAAAATTCTCATGACAGCCTCAAAGTGAATCTCATGAGGAGCATGCATAAACTAGCTAACTACACTGACAGCAATAACAATATTAGGATGGGAGTGAGATAGGTAAATGAACTTACCCACTAATCGCTGATAGCTCCCTCTATTAACAGCTGCTCCTCCTTCATTATCACCCAATTTCTGATTGGGTTCCAGTGGAGTGTCACAGGCCTTGCAGCCAAGCATCCCAGTTTCCTTCAACAGGTCAAGCACATACTTCCTCGAGATAAATATCCCATCCTTGGAGCGAACAACTTCAATTCCCAAAAAATACTTAAAGCTTCCCAAGTCTTTGATTTCAAACTCACTAGCTAAATATTCCTTCAACAGAGGCATTTTCTCATTATCATTGCCTGTAAGAACTATGTTATCTACATAAACAATGAGTGTTGTAGTCTTACCACGTAAGGAATGTTTCACAAACAAGGTGTGATCTGCCTGACTCTGTTTGAAGCCATATTTAAGCATAGCCTGATTGAATCTCTCAAACCAAGCCCTTGGAGACTGTTTAAGACCATATAATGACTTCCGAAGCATGCATACTTTGCCTTCTGTCTGATGATCCTCAAAACTAGGAAGAATGTCCATATATACCTCTTCTTCAAGGTCACCATTAAGAAAGGCATTCTTTATATCAAACTGATGAAGTGGCCAGTCTAGATTAGCTGCTAGAGAGAGAAGTACTCTGACCGAATTCATTTTAGCCATTGGTGCAAAGGTCTCCTCATAGTCAACGCCATATGTCTGAGTTAACACTTTTGCCACAAGTCTAGCCTCGCAACGCTCAATAGACCCATCTGTTTTGTGTTTCACAGTATACGCCCATTTGCATCTCACAGGTCGTTTGCCTTTAAGTAACTCAGTTAATTCCCAAGTGTCATTCTTCCTAAGTGCTTTCATTTCTTCAATCATGGCAAGTTTCCACTCAGAGGTAGTAAGAGCATCCTGAAAATAGTTAGGAATGCTAACAGAGGAAATATTTGACACAAACATTCTATATGAGGACGACAAATGAGAATAGGACACAAAATTTGAGATAGGATGTTGAGTACAAAATCTCACACCCTTTCTCTTGGCAATAGGAATATCAAGATCAATGGACTCAAGAGATTCAAAGTTACCTAGACTCTCTTCAGAAGCAGGAGATAGCAGTGAAGGATCAAAAGTGGTCTCTTGTATCCAGTTAACTTTCTGTCTGTTTTTGTCCCTAACATAAACTTGCCTTTCTCTATCCTTGGTGACATTGGGTTTTGTAGTCCCAGTAAGAGGTGGTGGTACAAGTGTGAGAATAATATTAGTATAGGGTTTATTCATATTAGTTTAGGGTTTATTCTGTGAATATTGTTTCCTTTTAGGATATGGTCTATTGTTTATTGTTTCCTATTTAGGATTAGGTTTAGAATTGCTATATATATCAAATATACATATTGTATTGCAACACACAATTGAATATACAGAAAATCTTTCAGGAATCTTACATGGTATCAGAGCCGTCTCTGAGCTGAAACCCTAGAATTTGTCTCTGTGGTGTCTTCTTCATCAGAATCTCACTAAGTCCTGATCATCAGTGCTTTTTTTCATCGTGGTCGTCTCTCGGAAATCAACCCTCTAGTTTTATCCCTCTAATTCGCTAGTCGTAACTCCCTCCTCTCCGTCTGTGTTCGTCTGGTTTGATCGAAAGACTTAAGTCGTCCTTCGTCTGGTCATCTGATTCGTATCTTTGGTTTGTAACCCAGAGACAGACGAAGAGAAACCCTCGTCGCAACCCATCTGAGTCGCTGAAAGCTCTGGTTAGTTTCCTCTACTTCTCACAAGCTTCGTGCAAAGTCTGCTCTCGGTCTGGTCTCACTGTATCTCTCTCGTCTAAAATCTAGCTCTCTTCCCTATGTGTTCTGAGTACTAAGATAATGGTATATTTCAGTTTGCTTCTCCAGTTCCTCGTCATTATGATTTGACCCTAAAATTCTATAACTTTGGTTCATTTTGATGTCGAATACCCATAAGCTTCAATCTTTTACAAATCCCAAGAAAGGGCCACTGGCTTCAAATAAGTGCGTCTTCTGCCATCAGAGGGGTTATTGGAAGTATCATTGTCCCAAGAATGGATGTTTGTCTGCTTTGCCTATGTTTGTCTCGTCTTCTCAGCAATTATCGATTTAAGTTCTGCGATCCACCTCTGAGTACCATTCGGCCTCCCGCCAGTTCTACTACATCTGCTCCAGCTCCTGATCCTAACTTGACTTCCTTGACTACTCAGATTAGTCAGCTTCAACATACATTGTCTACCTCCCAGTCATCCCTGCCTGTTTCCATTGTTTCTACTATTCATTCAGGTTTGCTCGGGTCTTCTTCAGGTATTTCTTCGTCTGTCTGGCTTTTTGACTTTGGTGCCTCTCATCATATGACTCTCCATCTCTCTTTACTTCAAAATTGTACTCCTCTCTTTCCTATTACTGTCAATGCTGCTAATGGGTCTAGTATGTCTGTTACATCTGTTGGGTCTATCCTACCGTTTGCTATGTCTCTTGTCTCTATTCCATCTGTCCTTTATGTTCCTCAGTTATCTGTCAGTTTATTATCCATCAGTCAGCTTAATGCATTTGGTTTTGATGTTATCTTTTCTTCTTCTATCTGTTCTGTGCAGGATTGAATGTCTAAGCAACTGATTGGGATTGGCCATAAAGTTGGGGACCTCTATGTGGTAGACAGCTTGCATCTGCCTTTGACAACCTCTCCTACTGCCTTTTTCTCTTTTCAGTTAGATTCTCTATCCAGTCCTTTCTACTTGTGGCATTCTAGATTAGGGCAGCTGTCTGCTGACCGCTTGCGGTCTTTGGCTCAATCAGGTATCTTCGGTAAAGTTTTTCCTAGTGAACTTACTGAATGTTGGGGCTGTAAACTTGCCAAGATGACAGCCTTACCTTTTCGTAAAAAAAATTTTATATCTGATACACCATTTTTTTTAGTTCATAATGATGTTTGGAGCCCTTCTCCTGTTCTCACCAAAGGGGGTTCTACATACTATGTGTCATTTGTTGATGACTGCACTCGTTACACTTGAGTTTATCATAAGTCCAATTTCTATCAGATATACTGTACCTTTTAGTCTATGATTACTACTCAGTTTGGGTCTACAATTGAAGTGTTACGGTCTGACTTGGGTGGGGAATATTTTAAAAATGAGTTCTATGAATATTTGGCCAATTTGGATACTGTTAAGTATTATTGTATAAGGGTAGTTAAGGATAGTTATGTCTTTTGTTCCTTTAGTCTTTTATTATAAGTATGTGTAACCCTAATAGGTTTATGAGGGTGAATAATATACAGTTCTCTTCCTTTTCTTTCTTTTATGCAAATCTAACATGGTATCAGAGCATCATCTTCCTTCTTGAAGATTCGTTTCTTTTTCTTGTTTCTTTCGTTCTTCCTTGTACACAGAAAAAATCAGAAAAAAAAAAAAAAAAAAAAAATCTTTTTAAGGGTCCGATAAGACTCTGTAAACTGTCCCGACATTGATTCCGGTTAGTTTCTACGAGGGTCCGACAAGACTCTGTAAACTGTCCCGACATTGATTCCGGTTAGCTCCTTCATGGGTCCGACAAGACTCTGT